TCTAAAGGGTTTGTAGAAGCTGAAAGTATATATGCAGATAGAGTAAGTGAATTAAAATATAAATGACCTCTTGTTAATAAAAGTGGAATATGACATCTTAATTAACTTAGTTATATCTCCAATTATAGAGAGAATTTATGTATTGAGTAGAAGGTTGAAATAGAAGACCCTAAAAGTTCCTTCTAAAACTTAGCTTCTTTAACTCTTAAAAATGTATTGGGTCATAACTTTGTGTTCAGCTTTGTGGTTAGTGAGAAATATAAAATATAGTTCCTGACCTTAAGAAAAGAGTCATTAACTGAGAGAACTTCACATGTCACGACATTCGAGGAAAACAAGGAAGTCCTCAGGCTAAAAGGGGGAGAGCGATCCCTATGTTCACTTGAAATATGGCTACATATTTTTTATATTCTTGACTCAAGATCAGCATTCATAGTTCAGTGTTTTCTTCCCTAGCAGACATATTTAAAATCATGTACTGTCTTGGCAAAATTTTCAGGTTCATATCTATTTTGTTCATTCATGCATTCAGCTAAAGGCTAGTTTGCAATGGATAACCTATACAGAATTTGACCATTGATTATGGAAGAGAGGCTATTACGAATAAGTGAGTAAAATTTAAGAAAAGAACGAACAACATTTTTAAAACAAATGTAAATTTGGGTTTGAAAATTTCATCCATTATTTATAAGAAAGGTTTCTAAATAAATTGAAAAGGAGACTGAAATAAATGGATACACAAGAATTAAGAAAAGGGGAAACAACAAAATTAAAAGGTAAATGGAAAACAAAATTGTGTTTGGAGCTTTACCTGGTATTTTAGGAAAGTCTTTTCCTCCAAAATGATAGAGCTATATAAAAGTAAAATGACTTGCATTTACACAAGTGGAAAGAAAAGTAAAACTGGAAGTGATGACAATGTTAATATCTGTCAGCTCGATTTCCATTCCAAATTAGGAAACAGAAAAAAGAGGAAGACACTCATGACAAGTGCCACTCACAGAGGAGACACAACAAGCATAAACTTTCCCTGGAAAATGAAGGAGTCAATTCACAAATCAAATCTGCACAGAATCACACACCGACACAAAACACACACATACAGAAATCACACACATACACAAAACCAGAGTGAAATCTTATTCCATATACAAAAATCATGTAGGTGTTCATACATACAGGCATACATGTACACATCTCTATTTCCGAGTATGAAAGTTCAGCCACATAAAATAGAAAAAGAACATTCTTAATATAGAATGTTTAACTACTACCACCAATGAGCTTGGCAATAAAGTATTATAACCTTTAAATGTAGAATTGTACATTCTTTTCTTGCCAGTGGGACATTTACAGAAATTAAACTGTATTGGTCCACAAAGAAAACCTAAAAATTCTAAAATATTTAAAAGAGAATACTTTTTAAACAATAGAATTTATAAAAATTTTGGCAGTACCTCATTTGAAATGACTTACTCTAAGTCCCTTAAAAGATAACAAAATGCAAATTAAGAAAGCCTTGTCCAAGTAGACCCTAGGGGGAAAAATTGAAAATGAAAATTATAGCTTTTCTAGACTAAAAATCAAAACAGAAAAAAACTAAGGGATAAAAGGGAGACTAGTTCACCTACAAGTTATAATTTAAAGTGAGTGAAGAAGTATAATCAGAGGAGAGAATATACATATAGATCCAAAGAAAAATTTTGCACATTAGAATTAGAATTTCAATTTGATAGGCAAAGAATGTTTTCTTTATTTTAATAAGTGATGCAGTATAACCAGCAGCAACAACAACAAAAACCCAAAGTAGACTTTCTTTATAACACATTAAAAGTTTCTATATTAAATATATAAAAGTAAAAGAAAAATATTTAGACAGTTAAAATGCAGCTATATCATCTTAAAGTGGATGAGACAGTCTTATGTAGGACAGACTGTATTACATAAATGAGCTCTGACTTAAAGGAATTCACAGTCCAGTCCCACAAAGGACATAAATATGTTAGTTTTGAGGTACAAGTAGAAGCAATGAGGCCTCCAAGAGCAATTCAGTTCCTCCTACGGCAGACATGCAGGAAGGTTTCCCAGAAGCAGCATTACCTGAGCTGTTTTCACACGGATGAAGGGACCCCTTCTAGTCAGTATATGGGAAGGCATAGTACCAGTGGAAAAGGCAATGCAACTGAAGTATAGAATGAGTGATTGCAGAGGCTGAAAATGGACCAATTTGTGAAAGAGTTCATCCGCTAAGCTGAGAACTTTTAACTTAACTGCAGCATCTTTCACTTGCTTGGGCTGCTGAAGGTGTGAGGATGGTCACACCAACCCAAGAGAAAGGGGACTCATTTGTAGGGTGAGGAAATACCGTACGGCTAAGAGTAGTAATTGTGGGTCTTAATGTCTTCTCTCCTTCTTCTTACTAACAGATTTTTAATCACAGCCTTGCCCCCAAGCCTAAGGCAGACATATCCCAGCCTCTCTTGCAGCTATGTCTACCCATGTGATCAAGGTGTGGCTAAGGTTTAGGCAGAAGTGCTACATGGAACAGCCCAGAATGGCCCATAAAAGAGAGAGAAGATCCTTATTCTTTTTCCAGGTGGTCAGAGAATGCAGTGGTTGGACATGGGGGCTTGCTAGAGTATGGCAGCCATCACAAGGGTGTTGCTGGCTTCCTGGAGGCTGTGGTGATCTATTTCATGAACAAGACATCAGTTCTTACTTGTTGAAGCTATGTGTGCCAACCCTCATCCCACTATTGTCATGAGAGATGCTTGCATTTAAGGAGCTGTTTCAGAAAAAAATCATGACTGAAAAAGGTGAGGCAGGAATATAGTCCAGCAGAAACCAAGAGACTGAGACACATTTAAGAGGTAAAATGGGAACAAAATAGCATATGTTGAAAACAGCAGTTTAGGAAGGAGTTTGAAGGCAAGACATTAAATTTTATTACAATGTCATTGTTGACATAAGCAAAGGAATTTTAAAAGGGTGGTGAACTCATGAAAACCAAGTTAAAGTGGGTTTCTTAGAGAATGAGAGACAGTGAAACTGAATTAGTGATTAATTTCAGGGAAAGGAAAATAAAACATTAGGTTAAAGACCATGTAAGGTGGAAAAGAGATGTTTGGTACCTTTTCTCACAAATAAACTCTATGTCCAACCATTGTGATTCAGCTAATATTAGCTATTGTTTATTAAACAGAAAGTTTATTTAATCCTTTGATAACAAACTCAGAATCTTCAAAATATGAGGAGCAATCACCCCTTCCCATTCATAATTGGGCTCATCTCTTGCTGCTACACCATACGTTATTCTGAAAAGCAAGTATTTTCTAATCCCAACTCAAATTCAGTGAAAGAGCACGTGTGAGCATAAGTGAATGGGGACAGAGATGACCCAGAACTCTGATGTTAAAAGAAATAAGGCTTCTTTTAATTCTGCAGAGGTCTTATGCAATTCTCCAAAGATTTGGAAATATCACATTTTTATCAAGGGTTTTCCAATCCACCTAAGGAAATGAAAAAACACTTCTGACTTGGTTACTTTTCTCTCGTTGCTGGGACAAAATACCTGACACTCAAAATGAAGGAAGGAAAGGTTTATTTAGCTCACAGCTTGTGGAGGTTTCAGTCCATACTTGGCTGGTTCCAAGGCAGAGTGGCACATAGCAGAGGGCAGTAGTTCATGGTGGCAGAACACAGCAAAGGCAGCAAGCACAGAAGGGAGGAATGGCGGCAAGTAACCTCTTTCCCTCCCTTACATTGTGTGCAAACTGTCTGCCCCAGGGAGGGTGTAGCACTCACACCCATCATCCCAGCACTGGACTATGGATCAGTCAAAAATGTAGAAGCCCACCCCATGACTGCAAGAGGATTTTGGGGAACATGCAGGCACAAACCATAACAACATCATATATGATTTATTAGCAAGCTCTCACCCTCATCCTCCCTCTGTCCTCCAGCCCCGTCCCTGGCTCTAACCCCCTTCTCTTCCTCCACTTCTACCTCCCTTCTTCCCTTCCCTCCTTCTACCCCTCTTTCTTCCACCATTTTTTGCTTCCTTCCTTTTCTCTCTTCCTTCCTTTTCTTTCTTCCTTCCTTTGTTTGTTTGTTTGTTTCTTCCTTGCTTTCTTCTCCTTCTTCCTTTCTCCCTTCCTTCCTCCCTTCCTTCCCTCCTTTTCTTCTTTCTTCCTTCCTTCTTTCTTTCCTTGGAGAAAGCTATATGAGAAAGGGTCATATGCTAGACTGCTTGAGATATTTTAATACCTATAGACTGCCAGTGACAAGTAATTCTTACTAAAAAACTAATATGAAATAAATATTGGGAGCAGGATTCAAGGCCACCAAGATTAAAGATATAACTTGAATCAAATAAAATATTGACCAATGTAAATATGCTGAATTTATGAAAATGATATTGATCATATTTAGTGAGATGCCTTCAAACCATGATTTACTTTTAATAACAACAAATGTGTCAAAGAATATAGTTTATGGTTGGTATGAAAGTGAGGTCAATCAGTACTAGGAGGGTTGGTTAGCAATATGTAAACTCAATCTGTTTTTAGAACACTTGCAAGTTTATGAAGATTTTAAATATTTCTCTATATGCTGGAAGAAAACCTGAGTTTGAATTATGTTTTCTCCTCAAGAAATTAAATAATAGATTTCTATTTCTCTCACAAAGAATGTTTGTCCTGCCTTCCTGGATTTGCTTGCTAACAGAAGAGATGAAAATACTTTGTAGAATGTGAATTCTTCTGCACAGGCCAACTACTGTTCAACTTAGTGAGGTGTAACATAAAATGTAGACTTCAGAACATGTAAAATAAACTTTTCTCTGTAATAGGCCTATGACTTTGGGTGCCATGGAAGGAGAAGTTTCAAAGCGACACCTGGCAGGGCTGCAGAGCGAAGCTCCTGTAATCCATCTCCCTCTTCCTGATGCAGTGCATGCCCTTTGTCATATCTTTCTAAAAAGTTTAAAACCCATAAAGCTATTTAAAGATAAAAAATATTTGCATACTTTATTTTTCAAAGCACTGATCTATCTCAGTTCCAATTAGCTACAGTACAAACAGTAATAAAATAGCACCTGGAAATTTTTCAATAGTTTGTAAAGAATCTTGACTCTTGAATCTTCATTTTCTCTCCATTTTGCTAAAGGATGGAAACAGAATCTCCCCCACCGTCCTCCTCCCCCGTCAAGTTGCCATTGGCCTTATTTTCATGCGAACAACCCTGAGGGAGTAGTCTGCTCCTCTAAAGGGACCCCAGACCACCCCATTCTCGATCTCATAGGGGCTGTTGTCCCTGGGGTCGTAGGTTCCCCCGGAATAGTAGATGCCATTGAGGTTGGCTGCCTGGCAGTTGTTGTACCACCAGCCTCCCCCATAGATTTCGGCACAATTCTCTTCCCACTGGTCTGCGTCCTTGTCAAAGGTACTGAACTGCATGCCATTGTGAGAAGTATACTCCGCCCCCTCCTCCACAGAACCCTCAACCAGGGCATCACCAGCACTGCCCTGGTAGGAGGAGACCTCCATGGCATAGCCTTCTGCCTCAGAGCCCACCCAAAGGCTATACTCTGCAAAGGCCGCCTTCCCAGCCCAGTCCTCTAACTCAACCCTGAGGACCGAGCCCTTCCGCGTGAGTAAGTGCAGGTGGTCGTTGCCTAGCCAGAATTCTCCTTCTCCTTTGTCATTCAGGCTGCCGAAACCTCTCTTGTAGTCTTGCCAGGTCCGGTTAAAATTCAGTGATCCATCCATTCTTTGCTGGATCAAAAGCCATCCTCCCACACTGGTCTCTTGATCACAATAAACAGAAAAAATCTTACTGGATCCTGGTGGCTTGATATTGAAAATGCCACTCTGGGCACCTGAAGGATGTGTTTGGAGGACATCATCACAGTCTAAAAAAAAAATTAAGCTGGTTGGAGGAAGTTACTCTCATTTAGCTTTACAAAGATAGGCATGGCCCAGATTTAAAAAGGTAAATACCGCTTTCCTACCTTCCTTCTTTATTTCTTTCCTTCTGCCCATGAGGAAAGGATGCACCTTCACTGAGTTATAATTTTATGTAAATGGGGGAAAGTTAAATCTGCAGAATGCAAATTTTCCTCAAATGGATTTGGAATCTTACTTGTACATGCTAATAGCGAGTAACCACCAGAAGTGGTTAAGCATCAATTAATATTAAAACACCTTATTTTTCAACCTGATGTAGAGGTCAACTGAGACACACACTAAAAATCTGATTGTGTGACAATCCCAATAGCACATAGTTTGAATGGTGAAAGAATTTGGTCAAGTGAACTAAAAGCCGAGTTTCAGAAGGATTCATTCATTCATTCAACACGTTTTTATTGAGTGGTAACGCTCTGCACTGTTAGGAATACAGAGATTCGCAAAACACAAAGTCCCTGCCCCAGTGGAACTTACAGTCTAGCGTGAAAAACAGACCAAAAAAGGGCAATTTCAATAAAGTGCAACAGAGGGTTAGCAAAGAAGAGCAAGGTGCTTTGGGGGCACTTTGAAGAAATAGCTAGCTTAGTTTTAGGGGGTCAGGGAAGGCTTCCCCAAAGGAGAAGTGTGGATACCTCTAGAAGGACGAGCTTTCACATAGCCTCTCTTGACGCTGTGCTCCTCCCCCGCATCATCGTAGTCGATTTCACTTCCAGCTTCATCTGCCATTTTAAAGCTCTTGCTTTCAAATGTGGAGCCTCCTTTACTGTAAGTTGTGCTGCTACTTGCTACTTGTTTCCTGTGAGTGGTACCACCACTGGTGGAGTATTCAGGGACCCCAAAGGTATGAGTGTCAGCGTCCCCCGTGAAGAAGGATGATTCTGTGCCCATAGAATGGGTCTTACTGCCGAACTCTTTGAAGGAAGTGGAGGGTAAGCTTGAGAATGACGTCACTTTTCCACTCGCAGATGTATCAAAGAAAGAAGCTTCACCAGGGTGCCTCAGGGCAAGTTCATCCAGGCTGCCATGGGTACTAAAGCCGTGTAGCATGTCTAAGTCTGGGCCCCCTGCGCAGTCGGCGGGATCTTCAGAGTTCACCACTTCTTTGGTCACCTGTTTGCGACCATCAGGACCAATCACTGTCTTGGTGATGGTTTTAGAGCACGAATGTCGCGAAGTGGTCGTGCCGGTAGAGGTGGCCTCTTTCCCGATCAGGAGCTCCTTCTCTCCTTTAGAAGTGACCAGCTTGTCTGTGTGATACTCCTTCCTTGTTCCTGAACTTACACTTCCCGACACTTCTTCAAATTCACCCCAGTCTGGGTTAGCAGGCCTGCTGCCACCATAGCCCGAGCTATCTGGTTTAAAGCTTCCAGTTGCAGAGCTTCCTGGGTTCCTAGTGCCACTGTAAGTAGGCACAGAGCTCCCAGGGTTCCGGTACCCAGCGCCGCCAGCAGCAGGGTTTCCATCACCTCCGGGTCCAGAGCTCCCGGGAGTCCGCTGTGCAGCGCCACCGGGCCTGGGGTTCCTGGGACTTTCAGCCTCTGGTCCTGTCCCATAAGAGGCAGAGTCTCCTCGGGCGCTGGCGCTCCCCTCCCTCCCAGGCCGCTCTAACTCCATTCTCATCTGCTGCATCTCTGACAACGCCCTCCACTCCGGAGGGGCCTTCTGAAGCTGGCTCTTGAAATGGACAGGAACCAAGTCTGACGGTTTCATTTTGAGGAGCGGTAAGAACTGCCTGTCTCTGGGGGGAAGTAGCTGCTTGGCCATGACCTGCTCAAGTTGCTTCTGTTGCTCTTCGTAATCCCTCAGATTTACCTCCCGGGACAAAGCCCTGCTGCAGGACCCCTTGCAAGAGCGGATCTTGATATCAATGTCCACCTAAAGAGAGAAAGAGAAAACGTAGAGAGGGAGAAATAAACTTTGTGTACTGAGCTTCTGGCAGTTAATGTATTTTGGGGTGCTTGTTTCATTTCTTTGGTTTCTAGTCCTAGAAATCGATACTCTGTTCTCTACCTCCGGAATATCCTCTGAGGAAGACGCCTTGGGAATGGGGTTGGGATATGGAATGTTTGGATTCATTTTACCCTTAGAATGGCTCAAGAATAAGCTATTGTTTCCTCTGAAAGGAAGCATTCACTAAGGGATCTTTGATGAGGCTGAGGCTGAAGTCACAGGCCTGTGATGCTATGGGTTTGGAATCCAGGTAAGACTGAACCTTTTACTTTTGAAATGTACTTGCTGCACCCTTGAAAATTTTATTTAATATCTCCCAACTTCTCTTCTCCATTTGTAAGTGGGGAAAAACCATTCTTACTTTTCAGTAGATAGTGGCTGTAGCAGTTTTCTCTGCTAGAGACTCCACGCATTATTATTGCCTTCCTTTTCCCTGCTACTCAAAAACAAAGCGATAGGGTGTGGGAGCGAGGGCTTACATACCTCCAGGCGCTTCATGTCTATCAGCTGTGCCCTGACATTGTTCTGCAGAAGCTGGATTTGCTGCGCTTTCTCAATGACTTTGCGCCTCAGGGTCTCAATTCTGCTTCTCAGATCTTCTGACACTTGGTTATACGTATTATCATTGTCTGCAGTAGGCAATACAGACACTGAAGTAGCTGCTGAGCGATTTACAATATGCAACCCACTCCCAAAAGAAATGTTCTTATACATATTCCCACATTTTGTTTGGGTTACAGAGTGTTTTCCAGACACATAATCTGTGAGTTTCAAGTGTATTAAGCAATTTGCTTTTGGACAGTGCTATGTCCTCCGAACACCCATGGCTGCCATTTATAATACTCCAGTAGTAATTAGCAATGCAAATGAAGACAAAAGAAATGCCTTTGGAAATTTAAAAGGATGATAAGGAGATAAAATAACTAGTTTGAGCACATTCTAATTATTCCATTATATCTTCAGTCAAGGGATTTGAATATACTATATATATATATATATATATATATAGTATATATAGGCATATATAGTATAGTATATAGAGTATATAATATAGTATATATAGTAGAGTATATATATAGCATAATATATAGCGTATATATATATACTATATGTTTCTGAATTTTCTTACTGAAAGGTTGTTCTTTCTACCAGCATATTTGAAGCTGTGACCCAGAAGTTTCATGGGGTCCCCAGGATCACTCACTCACCAGCTGATATTGTATCGCTGGCATTACATTAGTCAAGTATATCCTTAAGATAGAATGAAGCAAAACAAGGCTTCAGGAACTGGGCATTCCCTGGACTCATCCTTCAAGTCCAGAGTAAATGCAGCATTTTCTGCCCCTAAGGAGAGTCCTCTGAGAAAGACAGAGCATAGCTTTGTATTTAAAAAAAAAAAAAAAAAAAAAAACCACTTCAAATTTACATATCAGCTCAATGAAGTCTGAGAACTGGGCTCCCAGATTTGTGGCCAATGAGCAAGTCCCTCGACTCCTACTCACATGATCTGACCCATCTTATTTTCAATAACTTCTTTTGAAGGAACGTGCTTAAATGCTTGTCTTCAATCCAAAAATCTGAGTTATTTTGTTATTTTAAATAGTCTAAACTAACTCTTCTGCTTTACAAACATGATAAAAAGCAAACATTTCCTTAAAATTGAAGAATATCATAGAGACGTGTTTCTACACTAAGTAGTTTGAAATAAATCACAATGGCTATAACTATACATCACTATTCAGGATTTGTGCTGTTGTTTTTGCTGTAAATAAAAACTAATATTTAATACTTACTATTGGCTTTGGCAAAATCCCCTCTCAAAATCTCCATTATATTCCTATATGTATGAGAATCTTTATTGTTCTTTTGATAATCAAACAGTGAGTTTTTCAGCTTATTTATTCTGTTTGTAAAATCTTGATTGACTTCATCAATCAATCCTTTCATCCTGCATCCTGAAGGGCATTTGTATCCCTGAAAATAAAGAAGAAAAATTACACCGAGAGTCCATCTCTTAGATCCCAAACAGTACTCCAGGTTTCCGTGAAACTCCCACTGCTCCCCTACCCCATTTCTTCTGATCACCTATTGGTTTAAAAATAGCTAAGAGGCCTACTTAAAGGTCATATAGAAATTTTGGCATTGTGATCCATTTAACCACAAATTAGACCCCATGAAAGCTGAGGTCATAGTACTCAGGTTCCTACTTCTGACATGCAGCTAAAACCCAATCTGTTGTTCCTCCTGTTACTGATGCAGAGTTGGGGACGTAAGTTAACAGTGCTCTGGGGACGAAGTTCCTTTCCAGTTGTTGTCTTTATTTTAGCAAGTTAGAAGCTAGATCATTATTAGCTTTTCTTCTTATTGGGGAAGTTTTCTAGGGTCACCCTGTGAGGCCGGCTGAAGTCTTCAGGGAGGACTCACCTGCTCCCCACCCCCCACTTACCCAGTCTTCATCAGAACAGAAGGGCCAGTCAGTTTCTTTGCAGGCCGAATGCTGTTTCTCCACAAGTCTTGGGCCGCGCACGCCTCCTCCTTCTGCTAAAAACTCTCCACCAGTATCTGCAGTCTTTAAAGACACACACACACACACACACACACACACACACACACACGACCAAAGTCAATAAGTTAGCCAAGAGAGGAGACACTGTCCTGCCTACAAGTCCCAAGAAAGAAATGAGATTACAAGGGCCAGTGTCAGAGCTCCCAGAAACTTCCAGTTTCCTACCTTCAATGAAAGCCCTAGTCCCAATGTATGAACTTACGAGGACTAAAGCAGATAAAGTGCACATTTTTAGGTGTGTTTGACACTAAGTAAGCAGCTGATCGATGTCAGTAGTTTTATAGGTTCAGTAAAAGGAATATTATTTGAATCAACAAAAGTACTTAAATTTCACCTTTTTGTTATAACCAGTGACTGCAGAGGGAAGGATAACTGCAAACCCGGAAGGGTTCATGCCCTGTAACTCCTGATGCAGTACGCAGAAGCTTATACTCCTGCAACTTACAGTTCCTTTCTCTGCAAACCTTCACTCTCCCCTTCAGCGTGGGCCCAGAATTTAGGCAAGCTTCATCAAGGACACCAACCGGCCAATTAAGATTTGGAAATGCTTTTTAGGTTACTCACTGATACAATAACTCCTTTTTATTTGAAATGCAAAGTAGTGGACTGAAAGTAAAAGTACAGTGACTGACAATTTTTTGAAGCTCCTTATCATCAGAAAGGTACAGAGTTAAATTTTTTCTGTTGTGAACCAGATGTAATAGCATACAAAAAAAATCTTCCAACAAGACCTATGTCCTAGTAAATGAAGATAGCTTTCAGGTTTTCACTAGTTTTACTCTCTATCACCAACTTACAAGAATTTTGCTGTGATTACCTCTGTTTGGAGTACTTTATTCTTAAAATTGATTAACATGGTGGTCTTTTTTAAAAAAAAATTCAGACAACACTAATGCTAACTCAAGGGACCCAGAACCATTTGTTTAAAGGAGCAAATACAATCATCCTAAGCCATAAAATAATAAACAAACATTTCAGAATAAGATATTATAACAGTGAAAACAGGCAAAAGATAAATATTTAAACAATAAAGGAAATAGGATAAATAATTAAAGCTTGTGCATTATCCAAAATATCCCTTTAACAAATGATTTTAGTTTCTTCCCCCAAAAAAGTTAGTATTAGCATATTACTATAGGGAGAGAATTAAGTCTCTACCATTTGATATTAGAATTTATTAGTGATGGTACAAGAAATTGAAATGCTGTGTGCCCATAGATATATATAGATATATAGATATATAGATATATAGATAGGTAGATAGATATCTTGGATAAGTAACGAAGATAACTGAGTTTCTTGGACATAGTCATATTTGTATAAAATTACAGTATTTCAGAAACATTGTTGAATGAAATTTCATTTTGATATGCCTCTAAATTTTAGATACTGTAGTAATATTTAGAAGCTACCTTAAAAGAACAGGCATATTCCCAAATAGCATATCACACTATTAATTGATCTCTTCTGGTTTAGCTGTATGTTTCCAAAAACGATTCATTCGCTTTTTTTTCTTTTTGGTCTTAAAATAAACAACGAAACGACCTCTTACAAAAGTTGTACTGAAACTAAACCTCTCGAACACATAGCAAGAAATTAAAAATCAGTGGGGAAAATAATTTTATAAAATGCTTTATTCTGTTAACTAGCAGAATGCTTCAAGATTTCATAGGGACAAAAAGAGCAAAGTATGTTTCCCTTTTAAAAAGCAAGTAACAGGGATATAGCTCAGCGGCACAGCACCTGCCTGGCAAGCACAAGGTTCTGAGTTTGATTCCCATACAAAACAAAAAAAAACAAGTAACAGGGTTGGGGTGCGGCTCTGAGATGGGGTGCTTGTTTACCCAGCCTCAGGCTCTGGCAGACAGATGTCCGCATTTCCCTTGAGAATTTGAGTTCTTTGGTCCCTCAAAGTTCTGTCTCTTGGGTTCATGCTACCCTGTGCTCCTGTCAAGCTAAGCTAGGACACTGCCTCCATGCCTGGAGCTCAGAAAGTGGAGTGTTGCAAAGTATGCAATTGGAAGATTGAGATCGCCAGGCTCGCTGTGGAATAATCAGCTGGGAGCAAATGAGAAGCCAGAGCAAAAGGTACCATACCCATACTGTGCTGACCACGCTCAGAACCAGGCAGAGGATCCTCAGGGAAAGCATTTTTTCCGAGGCTGGGGCTGGCTCCTGAGGAGCACGCCAGCTGAAAGAAGGCACTGCCTGTCCCCGCAGCTCCCACCCCATTTAAATCTGCAGAGGACTGCGTTGTTAATCATTACTTTCGCCTGTCTGCCCACTCAAAGTTCTCTCCACAGCCCTCTGCACCTGCCGTCATGTGGGCATCCCAGAAATTCTTGCTCAATGCTCCTCACTTGTTTGCTTCCGATAAGCTGTTACAAATGGTGCTGTTGCATTCTCCAGCCAGCTGTTAGGGGAAGAGCCCATGTTCCTGGAATACGAGGACTGAAAATGCAAAGGGGAACACAAGAGAACGCATTGATACTTCCATAGCCAAAGGAGCCTGTGGGTGGCTGAAGCAGGCCAGCTGTAGCCCCGTGAAGTAGAGATGTCAGCCAGTGACAGTTCACCTTAGGAAGGAAGCAAGATAGGGTGATCCGACTTTCAAAAAGCAATTTTTTCCACAAGCTGGTCCTGAAGGTCTTTTGTAGCCTTATGTTAGAAATCTTTCTCTACCCAAAATACTTAAGACGTCAGTTCCTGGATCCAAACATCGTAGTGTCATAATCCTACCTGCACAGTGGCAAAGCCGTTGGATAAGTTACTTTCCCTCTGTATACCTTCAGGCGCTCATTTTTAAAATGGGGATAATGGTAACCTCCCGCATACGTTTTTCTGAGAAATAAATATGTGATCCTTGTAACGCCCCGCAAAGCAGTAGCAGCCACACAGTAAGTGCACAGTAATTGGTAACAATTATTGGAGAACGAAAGTGCCAGGGAAAGTACCATTTCTTTCCTCTTCCTGTGGCTGTGGACCTACTGATTTACTTTCCCGGCTCTTCATCTCCATATCAATCTTCTCACTGACTCAGCGGAACTACTGTATGACCCAGCAATTCCACTTCCAAGAACACCCCCCAAAATGAAATCAGGATCTTGAGGAGCCGTCTACATTCCCAAGTTCATTGCAGCATTACTCACTATAGCCAAGAGATGGAAGCTGCCTGAATGCTCCTTGATGGATAAGGACATAAAATATAAACATGCTGTTACTGTTTGTGTCTGGGTGTCCCCCCAAAGCCTCATGCGGTGGTCACGGGGCAGGCTTTTAGAGTTTGATTGATTATGGGTGTGAGAGCTACACCCACCCTGGGGTGGATAGTTTGCATATATAAGGGAGAGAAAGAGGGTGCTTCTGGCCATTTCCTCCCGCATTCCTCCCTTTTGGTGCTTGTTGCTTTGTTGTGTTCTGCCGCCATGAGCTGTAGCCCTCTGCATGTGCCACTCTGCCTTGTAATCTGCCAAGTATGGACTGAAACCTTCACAAACTGTAAGCGAAATAAACCTTTCCTTCCTTAATTTTGGGCATCAGGTATTTTGTCCCAGCAATGAGAAAAAAGTAACCAAGACACATGCAATGGAATGTTACTCGGCCTATTAAAAAATAAAATACTACCATTTGTAACCACATAGATTACCCTGCGGGCATTGTGGTAAATGCACTAATCCAGACAAAGAAGGATAAATGCCACGTAATTTCACTTATATATGGAATCTAAAAGAGTTAAATTCTCAGAAGGAAAGTGAGGAACTGTGGCTGCTGGGAGAGGGTGGAGATATATATATAAAACCACATGAGATGATATACAAATCACCAAAAATATATACATCAGGAAAAGGAAAATTTTTGTGACTACTTTAATACTAAATTTATTGAGATATCATGAGATGAATACAAGTTACCTTGGTGTCTATTCAAAGTCGTGGCTGTGAGCTTCTAGACATTTCCTAGTACAGCAAACTGCTGAAGTGTGTCTATGTTATTCTGGTGTACTCTGTCTATGCTAATTAGTAATGATCACTCTGTTACAGGACTTCCAGGATGGTGTGCCGTGGTGACAAAGAACAAAACTGCAGATAGAGGAAGTAGGGCACAAGCACATTTATTTAAAGGTATGATGGCAAAAATGTAAAAGGTACAAAGGCAAGGAAGTAAATCTCCCATTAACTGGGAGGGTGTTCTGAGTGGGACACCCATGACAGCTCTTCATCTAGGAGTTTTTAAGGGATTTAGAAGTGAGCTCGGGCCATTGCATAAGCAGTATAAGCTCTACCCTATGGAAGACTACATACTCTTCAGGGTCCAATTATAACTGTGCACAGTGTCTATGCAGGGTTGGTGTGACCTTGAGCCAATGGCCTGCCTGATCTCAGTCTGCGGAAGTCCACACAGCTGCAGAACACCTGGAAGATGTTTCCGTACAATCTTTGGAGGGTCGTGAGGCAGCAGTCTCTACTTTGGACTTCCCAGGTCCACTTTGAGTCCTTCCTGCCTAATAGCATCCTAACTCCTGTCTCAGTAACCCCTTCTACAATTTCACAATATATATGCATTTCAAAGCGTAAGTTATACACTTTAAATATGTACAATTTTTTGTAGTACTAGAGATTGAACCCAGTAGCTTCGCAATAAGCTTCATCCTCAGCCCATTTAAAAACCTTTTATTTTTAAGACAGGCCTCACTAAGTTTCCCAAAATGGGCTCAAATTTATAATCTTCCTGCCTCAACCTCACAGAGTGCTGGGATTACAGATGTGCACCACCACACTTGGCCAGTTTTTGTTGTTGCTGTTATTGTTTATACTTCAGTAAAACTATAAACAGTTGGCTTTGATTTGCCAAATTTAGCAAATTAAAATACAAGATGTCCAGTTAAATTTGAATTTTAGAGAAACTATGATTGCACTTTAGTGTAAGTATATATTATATAATATTTGAGATGCACTTACACTAGATTATTGACGGTATCATGTATCTGAAATTCAGACTTAATAGGGCATCCTGTAATGTATCTGGCCATCAGTCCTAACTTGACTCCAATTTTACTTCCTATGTGAAGCCCATACTGATAGTAATAACAGCTAATATTTACATGGTATTTAAGCACTGAACACTTTGCTAGACCTTTTAATCTGTACCTGATTCAATCTCTCCAAGTAACAGCAATCTCTTGTTCTTCTAGGTACACTTTCCTGGCCTGTCTCCTGGTGAATCCCATCATTGTGGGAAAATTGTTCATTTCCTCCAGTAGATGGTAAACTTGAAAATTGGCATATTTCATTTGTGTTTATAATCTCCCCAGAAGGTGTGGGTTTTACTGAGCAAAAAAACATTCATTCATGTGTTCCACTCTTGAAAATTTGACCGGCTATGGGCACAAGAAGATTTAGAAACGGATCCAGGCAGTGGGGCAGAGCAGTACCCTTCTAATCTACGGAAGGTTCCTTGTCAGCCCTCTGGAATTCCTGAGGGAACTGTAGCTGGGATTTCTAAAGATAGCTACAGAGCTCAGAGGGAGTCCTAGGGCCATGTCAGGGTTCTGTGGGAACCTGGATTACAGCCACACACAACTACTGCTCTAAAAAACACTAAGAAATGACAGAAATCCCAGGCTGGACTTCAGGTGTTCCCCCGTGCCCACAGGAAATACCCTTTAAGGAAATGAACAGGATGTAGCAAAGAATTCCCAAAGAGTAACCCGGTAGACTTCAAGTAAGTTAATTGAGTATAACTTCAATGAAAATAATCAGCAGAAAACAATCTGAGTGAAAACCACACCTCCAGTGGCCACTGGATGGAAGCCACCCCAGAGCTTTCTCCTCCACAATCCAGGGTTCCCTCAAGGCTCTGCGCTCCTCAATTCTCCCAAGCCTCTGCCCAAGGAGCACCCCCTAGACAGACTGCCTCTCCCCTTGGGACAGCCACCACCGCACATTTCTCCTTAGCCTGCTTTGTCTTTCTCCACATCCTTTACCACACCTCGACAGTGAATTGGAGCAGGATAGCATTTGGGTCACCGGCTTTCCAGAGAAGGAGAACGAGATTTCAGCTAAGTAACACGGGCAAGCTATTTAATGTCTCCGGGCTAGCTTCCTTCTTTGAAAAACAGAATGTTTATTGTGCAGGGTTGTTGGATTATATAAAATTATGAGGCTTACATAAATGACATATAGCAAATGTTTAACATACACAGCAAAATCTCTAGACATAAAGCCGTTTATGGTTCTTAAATGTCCAGTGTCCCATGATACAAAGATAACCCGTTTTCTCTCATGCTTGAATTCCCCACTCAGATACTCTTGGTCCGGCCCTGAAGGCTGACACCAGGCTGAGCTCCCCACCCAGTGAACACTCTGTCTTGTAAGTTGTGGGGAGCAGGTTTTTTGTAGGTAAAAATCCACGCAGATTAACAGGCAGCAAATCATGCAAATCATTTTAAAAATCATGGAACAATATGGGTACGTTCTCAAGGGCAAAAAAATGGAAAAATTTTAAGAAATTGTCAGTGGCTTAAATGATAACTTTCTTTGCCTTTTCCCTAGATTACACTATTTTCCTTACCTCTACTGAGAGGTTTATTTATGTATACTTTTGAAATTGATAAAATATTTCATCAATTATAAATATATGAATAGAGGGATTTGCCCATTCGTCATTTCATGGCACCTGGAAGAACTAGAATAGTTTTTATTTGTATGGTGTATAAGGTATACACAAATAATAAAAAGTATGTAGCTAGAGTTATGCTTCAGTCATCATACAAAATATACAATCGATCACCTAGGTGTTTGCCATTGTATAAATACAGCTTAAAAGTGCAAAGCAAAACAAAAACTCACAAATGAAGTGTTCACCATGACAATAGCAAATATTTTCTACCAATTTATTTTAAATGTATCAGCTTTTGAGAGGAAGTCGTTCATTTATTTATTAGTTTAACTTTAAGGATCATCTATGGTGTGTATCTTATTTGTTCAGTCTTGTATGCTACATGTTTCAGGTAGAAAGACAAAAAATGTAGTCTTTTACCTTAGTGGCTCACACTTGGTGAGCAAGTCAAATAAATGTACAACTAGGAATTTGGTTAGAACAATATAAAATTGTCTTTTGTAGAATTCATATCAATGAATAGCTGTCATTTTATATGTAATCTTATATAGTTTAACATAAAACGTGGAAAAAGTTATGTTAGATATATTCTGAGGACTCTCAGAGCA